ACTTTACTTGACTTTATTTTGCTTCCATGTGTCAATTCATTGAGATCAAACACGAAGCTTTGATAATGTGATCGACTGCCAGCTTCTAACATTACCTGAGGTTCCCTGAAGATTTAGGATTGGTTCCAATGTAAGACACTCTTGGAATAGTGAGCCCCCTCTGACTGGAAGAAGGTGGCTTGTTCTGTTGTTTACACTCTCTCGGATTTGTATAGTGGTATCAGTCCTTCAATTTTTCACTGGTGAAAGGATAGTACTGCAGATCCCAGCTTATTGACACTAAATATCTCAATCTTTCAACAGAAGCAGGAAGTTGTAAAGGTCACTGAAATTGAACATCTCCCTGCCTGTACAGACACAGGCTATTCAGCCACGTATATTGCACTGACTGCTTCAAGAAGCATTGCCTAGACCTGATCTATTGCTTTTCATTACCCAGACCTTGTAAAGGACCATTTCAATACAAATCTGCTGCCCTCCTGAATGTGCTCCCAACATGTGTGGCAAGTGTATTCCATACCCTAACTGCTGCAGGAAATGTTTTCTCATTTGGCCCTTGTTCCTTTGGCCATATGACTTTAAATGTGTGCCCACTTGAGTGGAACAGTCTGTCCTTATCCAATCAATCCAGGCTGCACTCTGTTTTTGAGAGAACAGCTACCTGATGTCCTTGGAGAGATCAGTCCCAATTTTTCCAAAAATAATTGGGCAGCACTACATTGATGTAGAATTCCTGTAGGTTTCAGTTGGCTTTAAGATATTGTTGTAACACTCGTTGAATTATTATGACACTGTTCCTGCTGGTTGTCTTGGGGTGTGCTCACCCAAATCCCAGGAACTAGCTTCTAGTAAGCTTGCTTCCTTGTAACTGAAGAAGCAGTATGATGCATAAACCTGGTCAACTTGAAACAACCCCAATTTTACAGTTAGGCTTGTGTTGGTTCTGATCAGTGTTCTGACTGTCCTGCCCTGCTGTTCTCACTGATTTAACCCATAGTGTTGAATGTGGGAGATTTGTTCTCTGCCACACAAGTGAAGAGTTTTGAAGAGGGGTCCAGACCCAAAACCTTAGCTTTCCTGCTCCTCTGATGCTGCCTCGCCTGCTCTGTTCCTCCAGCTCCACACCTTGTTCTCTCAGCCTCCAGCATCAGCAGTTCAACTTTCTGCCTAAAGTGAATGTTAGTCTGACAGTCATCCATCACAAAACAGACCCTTCAACCCAAACTGCTCATTGCCAACTGCATTTCCTAAACCAAACGAGACCCTCTAGTTTTGGATTCACTACTGTTTTGGTGGGGGAAGGATGTCAACTATGCACGTTATCTATGCTTCTGCCTTACATTTTCAAGGCCAAGCCTCAACCTCCTACTTTGCATGGGAAAAGATCCCAGCATCTCCTTAGAAAGGAAACATTCCTGTTCTGATAACATTATTGGGAACAGTTGACATTAACTCCAACATTGCCACCATTTCATCTTTAGTTGAATCATGTACACTTGCTTAGGCAGTTAATAAAAACTGCCAACAATAATAACAATTGCCTGGCTAAAACATGAGCTGCTTAATTGGAAGCAGAGTATTTGATAGCAGGTAACTTAGCCACTGGTATTATCTTCCAATCATCCATAGATGATGCCTGACCTCACTCTCTTTCTCCTCCCTCTGTTTGCAGTTCTCTTACTTTGACCGGGATGATGTTGCCCTGCGTCACTTTGCTGAGTTCTTCAAGGAGCAGTCCCACGAGGAACGGAAACATGCTGAGAAACTGATGGCATTCCAGAATAAACGTGGAGGCCGAGTCCTCCTGCAGGACATCAAGGTTGCATTTCATTATACCTATTTAGCTTCACTGGAGCTTATGGCACTAAATGTTTGGAACAATTGGATTAATGCAGTGACTACTATGGCATGTTATTTCATCCTTGCATCCCTCTTCCCTCTGGATTTTCCAATCTGTTGAAGCATCTGCCTCTTCCCTCCCTCCAGAAGCCAGAGCAGGATGAGTGGGGCAATGGTCTGGAGGCAATGCAGAGAGCTCTGCAGATGGAGAAGGATGTGAACCAGAGTCTGCTGGATCTGCACAAACTTGCCTCTGGCAACACTGACCCTCATGTGAGTTTCTAATGTGGGCATTCAGAGCCTCAGCTGTAGAATTCCATGGCATTGTGTATCACTCTTTGACCTGGCAACAAGTAAGGGCTGTGTTGGCTGATAGGATATTAGCAAGTACATATTCCAGTGCTGTTGGGATCTTGAATGACCCTTGTATAGCAATTCCTCTTGCCACAACACTGCCACTTTGGGAGGTTTTCTCTTCTCTGGAAGAGGCAAGACCACGGTGCTGAGCTGGCTGGTGAAAACTACTTGTGCCAACAGCTTGGTAGGCCTTTGGGTTTTTGTGGCCAGATCTCTGGGTTCTGATTTTACAGCAGCATAAGCTATTTGTGTCTCAAAGAAATGGAAGCTTCAGTGCTTCCTGGCTGATTCTCTTGCTGCCTTTTATTCCCCTCTTAGATAGTAGAACTGCGTATGAGAATCTGCCTGAATTTTCCCACTTTAGCCAAGGGGTATGTTTCACAATTATTGTATTAGAACAGTTATTTGTAACAATTATATAGTTTCTTAACATTGTTGTCTTAAATGCTTCTCTGGCTGTAGTTTAACAGCAATGTAGCACTCATTGACTAGTTGCATGGTATCCAAAACAGCTTTCATATGTTTTTTTAATCAAGTCCAGGTCTGGGCTACATTAAAAAAAAAAAAAAAAGTTGGAAGGGGTTTGTTGTTCTGATTCTCAATGCTCTGCACTAGTACTGCATCAATATCCAAAACTCTGTTGCTCCAGTTCACAGGATGAAAGGTCAAGCTGTCAAGGGAAACTGGTCTTGCTATCTAAATTCCTTTTTCTCTCCCTCTTTGGTCAGCTGTGTGACTTCCTGGAGAGGCACTACTTGGATGAGCATGTGAAGATGATCAAGAAGCTGGGAGATCACATCACCAACCTGAAGAGACTGGGAGCCCCTGACAATGGCATGGCAGATTACCTGTTTGACAGGCTCACCCTGGGAGAGAGTGACTGAACTGAATGCAGGGAGAAAGCTTGTTGCCATGTGTCTAAATGGGAGACCTGTAGAGACTTCTCCTTTTGTAGAAGCAGTTCATTGTCCTGTCCCAAGTGTAAATAAACTGCTCCATATTGGACTGTCTTGCCTCCCTTCCTGGGTTAATCCTTACTGTGAGCTGTGCTGTAGCTTGATCCTGTTTGGTTCTGTTCTTGCTGATGGGAACACTTTCCCCACTGGTCTGTGGGTTTCACAGTCTGGACCAGACAATTGCTTGCACCTAGTTGCCTTTGAGATGGTGAGCTGCTGCCTTGAGCCACACAAACCTTGTGTAGGTCAACCCACAATATCCTTTTGTATGGAGGAATTAGCACTGACCCAGGAACTTTGAAGGGTGAGGAATGGCTCATGGACCTAGCCTTCTTAGCAAAAGGACCAACTGAGCAGAAGGTTGGAAGCCATCAGGGAAACCTTAAGGTTATTGAGAAAACTGATTCCAGCAAGTTAAGCATAACAGACAAATCCAGGCACTTCTGGTTTTGGAAAGAATAATTTTAAGGGTGTGCCTATGGAATTTTGCTTTCAATGTTCATGTGTTTACTTCAGCAAGCTGTTCAGTATTACCCTCTAATGGAGCAGGTGGGACTTGAACCTATCCCTCCCAGACAAGGGTTAGGGATGCTACCACTGCACCACCAAGAGCTCAGCAAATAATACATGCTAAGTGTGCATATTGGGTGAGAGCAAGTCTCAAATCAGGGTCAATATATTTTTATTGGCTTGTGAAGTTTATTAGTCCTTGTTCAGCTTCTGGGGAGCCTTGGCAAATGGAGTTCTAGTGTGCAGGTGCTGAGTTCCTTTGAAGGTGTGGACAGGGTGGGGAAGAAAACACTTGGGATGCTTCCCTTCATTGGCCAGTGCATGGAGTGTAGGATTTGGGATGCCATTGTACAGCTGTGTAGGGCATTGGTCACTCTTGGAATACTGCATTCATTGCTGGATTTCATGCTAAAGATCTTCTGAGAGCTAAAGGTTCAAGAAAAAGTTCTGCAAGGAGGCAGAGTAAACTGGGGCTAGCCTCATTTGAGTGTCAGAAGCTGAGAGCAGACATTAGACTTAAAATCATGAGGGATGTGCATGGAATAAATAGTAAAGGCCTTTCTTCCCAGGCTTGAGGAAAGCAGAGGGCATAGTTGAAAGGAGAGATTCAAAAGGGACCCTGGGGCAACTTTCCCACAGAGGGTGCTCATCTGGAATGAGCTGCAAGAGGAACTAGTGGATGCTGGTACAGCTGCAACATGAGATGGTGCTTGGCTGGCTATATGAATAGGAATGATCAAGACTAGGACCAGATCAGTTTTGTATATCTAGTGGGCACAGGTGAATGGGACTAAATAGGCAGTCTCCATCCTGACTATTAGTCCAACTGAGGTATTTAGTGCATCAGAGGGGTTACTCTAACAAGCTTGTGGCTGAGCCCAACATTGCATTTTCTTCATAAAGATCAAGGACAAAAGGAGGGGAATATGAACGTCTCAAAAGAAACACTATTTTCCACATACCTGTCACCTGCAGGCACTAAACCCCACCTTTAAGGGCTCTATTAGACATATGACAAAACAAGAGAGAGATCCCAACAGAATGATTTAGTGTCCCTTAAAGACCAAAATGCTGGAAAACCAAAAAAAACTAATGATCAGTAGACCACTGTCACTGTGTCAGGATCAGGTCTTGTTAAACAGAAATAAATTTCTATTTTAAAGGATCAGCTTCTGAATGGCAGGGAGCAAACCTTCCAGCATTGGGTACAGAATTTGGAAGAATAATATCCTCCAGTATTTCTGATGATGGCAAGAGTTCTGCTGACATTCAGATGCCCAATTGTGGGAGAGACAGATTGTGTTCATGTCATAGTGCCAACAGCCAGGGGGAATGTTTGATCGATGCAAAGGTTAATGTTGAAGGGAAGGTATGAAAAGTGAATTCACTGAGGCCAATCTATGTGGGATAAGTTGGAACTTGGTGTTATCTGTACATCCATCATTTCCTTGTAAAAGATCCTCCTGAACAAACACAAAGAATTGATGCCCAGCTGGGTAAAAGAAGCAAGTGCAAAACAATGACTACAAGCCAGTATCATCTGCCAGTGCTTTACTATGGAACAACTCTTCCAATAACTCTTCCAATCCTTGAATCGGATGTAGCTCATCTCACCCACCAAAGCACTGTCCATCCTTTCAAGAGACATCCAAGTTGTGTTCTATGTGAGCAGATTGGATTCAAATCTGTCAAATCCAATAGCCCAGGGAAGCCCAAATTGTCACAACACCATGTGAAGAAGGGCTGAGAAAGAAACAATGCCAAAGAAGCTTGGAACAGTATGTCAGCCAGGATAGATCCCAACAACAGGAGGATAGCATCAGTGAGAACCTGCCAAGATATCGAGATCTTGTAGATACCATTCTCAGAAGAACCACACTTTAGCAAAATGTAAATCTTCTTCAACTGATGATAGTAGCAAGGAATTACGGTCTTGTTTTGAACTGTATAAAAGATAAAATAAATTTGAGACAAATCAATTCATTTGGGTTGAATTAACTCATCAGATGATATTGAACTTCATCCTACCAAAATAAAACATATGTATAAGATGTCTATGCCAGATAGAAATTACTTACAAAGCTGTCTCAATTTAATTAATTTGCTCTACCCACATCTTCTGAACCTTGCACATGCTCAGGAGTTCTCGACAAAAACATGAGAAAAGACGATTAACCAGTAAGTGTGTACTTCAACATTGTATTATAAATTTCCTGCAGTGTATTTATTTGGATATGGACTCGAGAAGAACATGAGTATGTGTGGTTTATGTTACACAGACAACCAGGGAGTAAGCCAGGAACACCATCTATTCCCACAGAGCCAGACACCACAGATATTCATCAAACTCTCTGGTGACCATTGAATGACCATGTGATGTCCATTAGTTTGGACAAAGTCGTTTGTGACTAATGGACATTCCCTGCATCTCAGATCCATTTTGACCAGGATATCTGGCAATCTCCAGATACATTTTCAGTTCGGGCGGATTAAAAGCGTCTGTCCCAGGAGGGCTGTGGGTGGATGATGATTGGTGGATCCTGATGTCAATCACAGGCTCCCCCATCTGGCCCATTAAACCCGGAGTTAAATCCAAAAAAACACATCTCATCACCTATTCCAGGTCCGAGCTGCTTAGAGTTACAGTGTGAAACAACATGGAAACAGACCATTTGGTCCAACTCATCCATGCTAACCAGGTATTTCAAACTGAACCAACACCATTTGCCTGCATTTGGCTCATTTCCCTTGTCGAGGGCCAGACCAAACCTCCTCCAAACACATTAAGAGTATCATTTGTTTTCTTGTTTTAAACGTAAGTGACAGGCATTGTGTTCCAGATGCAATTCGATTGATCAAACTATTAACCTCAAGCAAAGCACACTTTAGTTTTATAATACAGTTGAAGTACAGACAAAAGAAAAAGGAAAGTATTGGATTACCTAACGAAATGCTGAACAAAATAGTAGATACATTAACTATTACTAATTAACTGTTCCAACATAGTGACATACTATAAACACACCCTTTGCAAAGGCAGATTCAGTGAAATAGATTGTCTCACATGCAATTCGAACAGCTGCAGGAGAACTCCCAGCTTGTAGCTGTAACAGAGAGAGGAATAAGAGCTCCCACGGCCAGCTCGAAAACCTCAGCAACTGCTGAAAGCTAAAACTAAAAATCCTGGTTCATTGGGAGCTTGACCAACCACTCACCCACTTCCACCCGACCAAACCACCCCCCGACAACTCCCCACTTACACACACCCTCAAGCAACTCAACTCAGGTCGCTTCTATTGTTCCAACTGCAATAAAAAACCTCAATGCCTCACAAGCTGATTACTTTATTGACTTTGAGTGGAGTACTCTCCACCTCTGTCTCCAACTTTCTTCATTTGAATCTAAAGTCAAAATACACCTCTTAAAGCCATTGTTTCGTCACACCTGCTAAACCCTTCCTATTCATGTTCCTGTCCCAATTGCTTTTAAATGTCTTTACCACGTCCTCTGGCAGTTCATTCCAAACATGCACCACCCTCGGCGTGAAAAACCTGCCCCTCAGGTCCCTTTTAGATCTTCTAGAATGAAACTAGTTGTAAACACTTGGGGTATCAGTGAAACACTTGAGGCAAAAGAACCATCTCTGGTCAGATGGTGGAAAAGTGCTTCACTGAAGGTAACATTTTTTAATCACTTCATTCCTGTCCCAGAATAGACACTTTTTGAGCAATCTGTTCAGGAGACAGTGGCACCTGACACTAGTGTCCTCAGATCCAGAGGTATGGACACTGCCACTACACATATCTATTTACAAATGACCAGCGAGATTGGCCTGCGTTGACAAACTATCACTCCAAAAGCACTTGCATCATCAAGAATAATTTACCAAACCTCTGTATTCCAAATCTCTGATTGGCTCTGGGTCTCAGCATTGTCCCCATAACACCCTTTCCCTTTTCATTGGTGCTTAGATTGATGGGACATTCCTGATTGGATGTTAGGAATTGTCAGTAATGATTGGTAATGTCATTCACTGGTTGAGTGCAGGATGTCCCCAGGAGTATAAATACAAGAGTTTGTGGTTGAGAGGTTTATTTTTTGAGTGGTCTAGGCAATAGTGAGTAGGTACAGTGAAGATGGCCTCCCAAGTGCGTCAGAACTACCATGAGGACTGTGAAGCTGCTGTTAACAAGCAGATCAACCTGGAGCTCTATTCCTCTTATGTTTACCTCTCCATGGTGAGCCTTGAGAGTTCACTCTTTCTTGTTACTTTCTTTTGTTCACCATCCCCCATACCCACCACACAACCAAGGGCAATTAGGGGTGGGCCATATGTCGGTGAAGTCCATGCCCCCTGTGTTTCATAGTTGTCTTTTTAAGTATATCTGGGATGGATACAGTTTCTTTTAAAGCCATTGAGTTGACTTTTGAATGTTTCTTCCCTCTCCAAACCTCCTGTCCACTTAACTTATTAAGGAATTTTTTGTTTTGGTTGTTTTGTTCAGGGACTAGCTACTCTGTGTTCTCTCTCTTGGGTTTTATTCTGAAGTGTTTTATATTGGAATAAAATCCAAGGTTCCTTGTCACTTCTTGGATGATGATTTTTCATGTTGTGTAAACCTGCTCAATTTCTGTTCCACTTCAGTTAAAGTGAATTGGGTGACTCACTAGTGAAGCAGTCACTATTTGAGTCCTCCTGCCTGTTTCTGAAGGAGTATAATCCTGGTGTGTTGGCTTAACACTAGGTCCTTCAATGATGACATTTGATGTTATTACCTCAATGACATGGGATTTTCTCTCAACTGATATTAAGTCATTACATTAAGGTTTTTGGTGAAAGGGTCTCTGATTATATCACTTGGGTTGAGGACTGAAATAAATCTAGGCTCCCTGTTAAAATGGATTTTGGTCTCTTGACTCCTCATGAGATTGAGGAAGTAATGGCTATTGAGGTGTTTGGTGCAAGTTGCAATTCATTAGCTCCTACTCTAATGCACTCGGGTCTAATGGGTTGTGCCCACTTTGCCCATGTTAAAATGGGGGTCACACTTGGAGAAGATCTTGAGTCCAGGGAGAAATGATCTCCTTTGCTCACGTGAGTTGACAGATGTCACATGGCCCCCTGTAGACCTGCTCACTACTCTTAGTAAGATCATGGTTGTTTTGTTTGCATTCTACACTTATCCTGATGATAGTCAGTAACTCTGCCTCAGAATATCTGCTTCTGATAATAGTCAACAACCTCCTAATCTCAGATTGAGTTGGAAAACCAAATGAAGCATCTCATCAGTCAGTCGAGGACTACATTGTATATTCCTAAATTATGATCTGTAGTTCAGAACTGTACACCCAGCCCAATATGTTCCTACATTGTCTTGACATTCAGGATGTGTACACTTCATTCTGTCTAGTCTGAAAAAACTACACAGCCTCTTGCTGAAGTTCTGTCTGGATGAGATCTGGAGCTTGCCTGACTCTGTCCCTTTCTCCTCTTCTCCCACAGTCCTTTTACTTTGACCGGGATGACGTTGCCCTGCGTCACTTTGCTGTGTTCTTCAAGGAGGAGTCCCACGAGGAACGGGAACACGCTGAGAAACTGATGGCATTCCAGAATAAACGTGGTGGCCGAGTCCTCCTGCAGGACATCAAGGTTGGTGTATCCTCTTACGTTACAACTAACTGAACTAGACATGGATTTGAAGCTTGAATACTGCTGGGGTAAAACCACAATGCTACAAGGTGCACGCTAGTTCCCAGTTACAATCTCATCTCACTGCATTGAACTTCCCTTTGTTTTTCACATGAGTGAAGCATCTGCCTCTTCCCTCCCTTCAGAAGCCAGAGCAGGATGAGTGGGGCAATGGTCTGGAGGCAATGCAGAGAGCTCTGCAGATGGAGAAGGATGTGAACCAGAGTCTGCTGGATCTGCACAAAGTCGCCTCTGGCAACACGGACCCTCATGTGAGTTCCTGATGATGACCTATCGGGGTATTGAAGGTGATACTGGAATCTGCCCCGCACACTCTGGTCAAAGTCTGTGTAACAGTGTGTTTTGGAGCAAACACCACTTGTGCTACTTGTCTCAGTTACCAATCTGATTTGCACGTGATGTTGAAGTATCTGGGGTGTAAATTATTATGGGGATTGTTTCCACTTAAATGGATTTGCTTGGCACTTGTGCGCAAGTCAGCTTTGCTCTGCCTTCTCAGCTACAAGTATTACAGGAGGCAGTTTCCAGCCTGTTCTTGGAGATATCCAGCTGCTGTAGACATCCATAAATGATAGAAGCACCAAGAAAGACCCATCCAATCATGTCTCTGAACTGATTACTCTCATTTTGTTTCTCTCCAGCTGTGTGACTTCCTGGAGAGGCACTACTTGGATGAGCAAGGGAAGATGATCAAGAAGCTGGGAGATCACATCACCAACCTGAAGAGACTGGGAGCCCCTGACAATGGCATGGGAGAGTACCTGTTTGACAGGCTCTCACTGAGCTGATGCGCTTGGGGAAACATCTTCAACTGTGTAGAGTGCTAGTGTAAGCCTGTTCTTCTTACTGGATATAGAAATAAATTCCTGTGAAACTGACTTGTGTCTGTATTGCTCACTACATGCACATTGATCCAGACCAAAGATTGCTAGCTGTATGAACTGATTTTGTGTAAGCTTTAATGTGCTATTGGCATTCCTCACTGCACCCTGAATGTTATCCAGTGTTCGTGATCTCTCCAGGCTACACTAGAGCTGCATGGGGCTTTTGTGGGGTAGGGTGGGGGTTGGATGTGGAGTGAAAATTGCCAATTCAGAGTTTGCTGTGTGAAGGGGCTTCTTTCATTTCAATGGCACATATTCCCAATCGTGGCCTATTTCATCACGGCTAAGCATATGACATTTGGCATCACCGTTATTGAGCTACAGCACAGAATTGGAAAGGGAGTAAAACTCCATCGATGACTACTTAGCAAGAGGAAAGCTGCTTGGGCACTTGCCATCAAACACTCCCAGGACAATTGCATTGCAAGGTAGACCTTCCTGCACACATTGAACTGAAAGACAAGCACGCTTTACGCTGTTAAACTAAATGTAAAGCATCCGTGACAATATTCTCAAATAGCATCAGGACAATTTCTTTTGTTTTTTTTTTTATCCCCCCCCCCTCCCCTTGTCACGAAGAATGATCCCTTTCCGAGTAGTGGGAAAAGCTAATGACCTGTTGTGTGCAATGGAATACAAGGTATGCTTCAGTTGTTCAGGGGCATTGGTGACAGCATAGCTGGAGCATGGTATTCATTCACCTTGCCTCAGAAACTAGAATCAAGGAATCCCGACAGTGTGGAAACAGGCCCTTTGGCCCAACAAGTCCATGCTGACCCATCCTGCTATAACCTCCTCTCCAAATACTTCAACAGTGGGCAATCTATCATGGCCAATCCAGCTAGCGTGCATATCTTTGGACTAAGAGAGGAAACCCACGCCACGACTGCATATGTTGTTCAGATAACATTTTGCCAGACAAATTTGGGAGGGGGTGGGCTTCATAAAGATGAGGCGCATGACTAACTTGCATCTGCTAATCCTTGGTGAGCAACAGGGACTTCACTCACGGCTATTGACAGGTTGTGGGGAGGACGCCCCTCTTGGGAGAGTTTAGAGCAACTGGTCACCCATTTAAAATGAAACCTTTCTTTGCACTGGTAGGTTGAGGAATTGAAAGTCTCCATTAAAGTGATTCTGAACGTTACTGCCAGAGATTCTTCATAAGCAGAGGTGAAATTTTGACCCAAGTCGTTTGGGTTGAGATAATTGTTTACAGGAACCAGAAACGTAACAATATTTCTTTAATTCCACCAGATCATTGAAAGTGTTTCTTGCAGTTCTCCATGGGCCTGGCGGGTTGACGTGCACTTGCTCAGGAAATCAATATAGCCCCTGGATCTAAACGCTTCACAATCATTTCCCACATTCAGTGCTTTCCAAACACTTCCCCACCATCAACAACGAAAACACAAATTGCTGGGAAAGCACAGCAGGTCTATCAGCATCCGTGAAGAAAAAATCAGAGCTAACGTTTCAGGTCCAGTGACCCTTCCTCAGACTGTACGGTCGCTTGGAAAATGTCGGTTCATATGCAGAAGATAGGGAGGGGGACGGCGTAGGGACTAAGTTATAGGATAAAGGATAGAATCCAAAGACACAAGTGCAGATGGACAGACAAAGGAGTTGATAACGATCTGGCGAGGAGGGTGAATAGCTGTTAATGTGGATTGTTAGTGACTAACAACAGGGAGTGTGTAATGGCAGGCCATCATTAAACTTGTTTTGAGTCTTAAATGGTCATAGAGAGAGCTGAGAGCAGGAGTACAGCTGTTACAGCACCAACTCCACTATGGCCATTGCTGCCTCTGAACTCATGATTCCCTCAATTTCAGCTTGGGTCCACACTTGGGGTCTCTATCTCTGCTCTGGAAAGGCCTCCTGGTTAGTTACAAATAGTATCATAGTTGTGACCACATTAGACATGGTCTTGTTTCAGTGCTCAAACAACTGACTGGTTACGTTCCAACTACTATTGTTCACAAATCAGTGAAAGGAGGTTTTGTTTTGACCTGTTTATCTGTTCGAGCATTGACCACTTTAAGATGACTCCCTTGAGAGATGACAAATGTTGGGAACTATTGCCTGTATCCTCACTGTCCAAAGGACATACAAAGTGTTGGATGAATAAAAGCAGAACGTCTCAAGTTACATCCCAAGACTCTCCAAGTATCAAATGTTAAATCTTGTCTCACAAATACCTCTCAATATAAAGTGAACTTTTGCAGAAGGAACAGCACATTAGACTGGGTGATATTTGCCATTAACTGTGGTGATTCAATTGCCTCTTCTGAACCTGATGAGTGATGTGTCAATTCATCAAGAGATGGGCGAACACAGAAGCAATTGTACTTAATAGTGTCTCCAGGGTTGAATTTCCTGACTTATATTGGGAAACTCTGATTTCGAGAATTCTATCAGTTTCAACTTGAGGAAAGTCTCAGTAACTAATTTCCATTGCAGATAAGAGTCCATGACATAACTATAAGAAAGGCAACCATGTGAAGGAAACCTTCAGAAATAGTTTGGAGATAGAGGAGAGCTAATGGCTATCTGAGATAACAAGGTGTAGAGCTGGATGAACACAGCAGGCCAAGCAGCATCAGAGGAGCAGAAAAGCTGACGTTTTGGGTCTGGTCCCTTCTTCAGAAATTTCTAAAGAAGGGTCCAGATCCCAAACGTCAGATTTCCTGCTCCTCTGATGCTGCTTGACCTGCTGCGTTCATCCAGCTCTACACCTTGTTATCTCAGATTCTCTTGCATCAGCAGTTCCCACTATCTCAAACGGCTCGAATCTACTTTGAATAGCAAAGCTATGGCAATCTTTCCCCAGGACCCTGTACATGGGCCTGGGGCTCACATGTAGAAAGAGCCTTGTTGAAGGAATAGAGAGATGTGCATTCTCGGTTTCCTTCACTTCCCACACAAAGAATACCATAAATCTTTGAAAACCTTAATTGAACATCGACTCCATTGATTATTTCAAACTGAGATTGGTGACTATCTGTTAAGAATATGGTGTAAAAAGAATATGGAAAAAAGGTAGGTTACACAGGTTTTAAATACAAGCCAACCAAGATCCAGTTGAGTGATGCAATATGCTTAAGGGGTTGAAAATCCTCCTCCTGTCTGCATGGTCCAAATGACCTGAAACTCCTTCTATTTATTGGAATACAAGCTTGGCTCTTTCAGTTACACACCATTCCCTGTCTGAAATTAGTTCCTGAATTGATGGGAGATTCCTGATTGGCTATCAAGGATTGTCAATAATCATTGGTGACATCATTTGCTGGTTGAGAGCAGGATATCCCAGGAGAATAAATACAAGAGTTTGTGGGTGAGAGGCTCAGTTCTCAGGTTGTCTGGGTGATAGTGAGTTGGAATAGTGAAGATGGCCTCCCAAGTGTGTCAGAACTACCACAAGGACTGTGAGGATGCTGTTAACAAGCAGATCAACCTGGAGCTCTATTCCTCCTATGTTTACCTCTCCATGGTGAGACTCATATGTTTTGGGTTTCATTTTAAAATGAAGATTGCCTTGTTTTTATTAATGTTGAGTGGGCAGTATTTCCATGTGAATGGTTTGGTTGGGGATGTTTTTCTAATGTCCTCTGAGAACAAATGCAGTGAAAATGCTTGATTGAAATCAGATGCCTATTCTGTGAGTTTTTTTCAAATGTGAAACTTGGTTTTTGTGAGGTTTCTAACATCATCTTTACCTTCAAGTGTGACTCACCCTAATGGGAATTAGGAGCAAATTATTGCAGATAGTGGAATCCTGACTGAAAAGATACTGGAAATCCATTTGTCAGGGAACATCTGTGGTGTGAATGGCAAGCTAATATTGAGTCTGGATGACTCTTCAGAGATGATGTATCTCCAGTCCATGTTAAAGCATAAACCTAATATTCCTGTAGCAGGTCATTTTAATGTGGCATCTTGCTTGTGTCCACTTGTCTGTCCTTTGCATGCTGCAGTGAATCAGTGCAAATGGGAAGAACAGTATCTTGACTTTAGACAAGACACTGATGATCCTCTGGACTCAATATTGAGTTCAACACCTCTGGAATGTGAATGCATTCTCCTGTTTTTCCCCTTTTAGCATTACTTGTTGTGTTCTGTAACCATGTCTGTCCTCCTTCCCCATGCTGCAACTCTAGTGGGGCCATCGGTTCTTGCTAGTTTGGCAGGTGGATGCCCCATTATTCAGCTATTCTCCCTCTCTCCAATTACTTAATCTGAACTATCAATATCCTTTCTCCACCTGGACTCCACCCTCCAGATATTGTGTCAATGCTGCCCCCCTCCATGTTTCCTGTAGCTGACTCATCCAGACGAGAAATATTTGCTTGTTCTCTTTCTATGGATGCTGCCTGACCGTTGGGATTGCTAGCCTTTTATCTTCAGCTTTAATGGCAAAACAGAAGTTAACATAGTGCCCATTTTAATGGCAAACATTTTGGAATATGGTTTAAGTTTCCATTCCCTTTTAGGTGAAAGATCTGTACTGAAACTTCCTCTAGTGGACTGCCTTGTATGATGTGATCATTCCAAGTTAGCTATTTTGGGGGATCTCGTGCTTGCTCCTCCAACTAGATGTTGGAAGGAAAAGATAATTAACTGGAGTTATCTCTGAACTGAATGCTGGATGGGTTTGTCAATACAAACCAAACTGAATTTTCTACTTCTCCCACTCTCTCTCCTGCTGAGGTGTTGTAGCAAGGCACTTACAATGTATGTCTAATCACTTCCCCCAACCCCATGGCTTGTGGTCATGGACATTGAAACTTGACCTTTACTGTATTTCCATGTGTCCTTTATTGAGCTCTAACATGAAGCTTTGAAAACATGATGGGCTGCCAGATTGTGACAATACCTGAGGTTCCCTGAAGATTGAGAATTGGTTCCAGTGTAAGACACTGTTGGCATACTGAGACTGGCAGAAGCTGTTTGGTCCCGTTAACAGTCGCATGGATCTGGAGAGTAGTATCAGTCCTTCAATTGTTCGTTGGTGAAAGGATAGTACTGTAGATCCCAGTTTATTGACACTATATATCTCTGAATCTTTCAACAGAAGCAGGAAGTTGTAAAGGTCACTGAAATTGAACATCTCTCTGCCTGTACAGACACAGGCAATTCAGCCAATTATAATGTACTCACTGCTTCAAGAAGCATGACCCAGCCCTGATCTATTGCTTTTCATTACCCAGACATTGTACAGGACTATTTTGATCCAAATAATAGTCTGCTGCCCTCCTGAATGTGCCCCCAACTTTTGTGGGTAGTGTATTCAATTCCCTAACTGCTGCAGGAAATATTTTCCTCATTTAGCCCCTGTTCCTTTGGCCATATCACTGAAATGTGTGCCCACTTGAGTGGAACAGGTTGTCTTTATCCAATCCATCCAGGCTGCATTCAGTTTTTGAGAGAACATCTACCTGATCTCCTTGGAGAGATCAGTCCCAAGTTTTCCAACAAATAACTGTGCAGCACTACACTGATACAGAATTTCCATAGGTTTATGAATTGGCTTTACAACATTGTTGTAACACTTGGTGAATTATTATGACACCTGTTCCTGCTGGTTGTCTCGGTGTGCTCATCCAAATCCCAAGAACTTGCTTCCTCATAACTGAAGAAGCAGTATGATGCATAAAACCTGGTCATCTTGAAACAAACCCAATTTTACCTTTGGACTTGTGTTGGTTCTGGTCTCCAATGAATAGTGTGCTGACTGTCCTGCCCTGTTGTTCTCACTGTAGTTCTCCCACAGTGTTGAATGTGGGAGATTTGTTCTCGACCACATAAGTGAAGAGTTTTGAAGAACAGTCCAGACCTAAAACGTCAGCTTTGCTGCTCCTCTGATGCTGCCTGGCCTGCTGTGTTCCTCCAGCTCCACACCTTGTTCTCTCAGCCTCCAGCATCAGCAGTTCCTACTATTTCTGCCTAAAGTGAATGTTAGTCTGACAGTCATACATCACAAACAGACCCTTCAACCCAAACTGCTCATTGCCAACTGTACTTCCTGAACCAAACGAGATTCTCTAGTTTTGGACTCCTACTGTTTTGGAGCAGGAAGGACATCAACTAGACACACTATCTATGCTCTTGACTTTAATCTTTCTTTTTAAGATCAAGCCTCAACCTCCTACTTTGCAAGGGTAAAGATCCTAGCCTCTCCTTGGAAAGAAAGCATTCCTGTTCTGATAGTTCTTGGGAATAGTTGAAATGAAGTCCAATGTTGGCACCATTTTATCTTCTAGTTGAATCATGTACATTTGCACAGGCTGTTAATAAAACTGCAAACA